TTTTTTTTTTTTTTTCAGAACTGGAGATTGAACTCAGACCCTTGTGCTTGCCAGGCAAGCACTTATCCTACTGAGTCATCTCCCCGGTTCCCTAGTTGTTTTTAAGAGATCTTTTCTTACTTTTTCACTAGCTGCAATGGTGTCTTTCAGGTCAGAATGTCTATTTTCACTTTCACTCAAACAGTTTTGCCAGTTTGTGATTGAGGTTTTAATTTCCTGTATATCACTTTGAATCTGCTTCATACACTCTATCTTTCCTATATTGCTTATTCAGGGGTTCCATCATTTTTATATTCTGCTCTATTTTTTTATCAGTGTCTTCTTTAGAAGCACTTAGTACTTCTTTAATTATAGTTATTGCTACATTTTTTTAGTTCAGAAATTATTTCTGATCTGATTTCTTCTATACCTTTCTGCAGTTGTTTCTTGACTTCCAATGCTATTATTTCAGAGATATCAGGTGTGTGATTTCCAGTTTCCTCAGTCCTACTGTCTTCTGCAATTGTAGTGGGTGGACTCGGGGCTTGAGCCTGCATTTTGTTCCTTCTCTTTGTCATTTTGTATACCATTTTGTCTTCTGACCTTTGCTGTAGAGCTTAGATAGAGCTATTACCTTAGCACCAGGTCTGGATCTACAAAGTTCAGAATCCTCCAAGTGGGTGTTGCTTGGATCTGCCTGGGGTCTGGCTGCTGTGCTTCACTTCTTCCTGCTGCAGCCATTGGAGTTGAACCTTTTGTGTCACTCTGGCAAGATGTTCTGCTCCTGAGTCAGCTGGGTGGGTCTTGCCTCTAGCCTCTTTGCAGGGAGTTCTGCTGAAGGGTTCCACACTGGGCCTGCACTGTGAGTCGAATGAGGATCCAGTGGGCTCTCAGAGGTCTCATTCACACACCAGGCCTGCGTTCTGGGTCAATTCAGGATCCGGCAGCCCTGGGTCCTCTCACTCACATGCCCGTCCTGCACTGTGGGTCTATTCAGGATCCGCAGGCCCCAGGTCATCTCTGGATGCCATTTTTCAAGATGACAAATACTGAAACTCAAAATTATTCTTCTTTATGATTTCTGTTTTATATAACGTACATATTTTCTCAGCTCATTTTTTCAAAAGTATTGTGTTATAGATTTTAAAAAGTAACTTGGCAAACAGCTAAGTGGAGAATTTTGACATATTATTGACTTTTCAAATTTTCCAGTTTGAGGCATTTTCTTCAGAAACAATTCAGTCATACAAATAATGCCATAGTTGCATTTTTATTTGTAAGCTCCGTCTTCTATCTCCTAGGAAGAAAGAAAGCAGCCTGAGAAGCTGATGCAGTATTCCCGGCCCGGGCATCGCCCCCTCCAGCCCCTTCCACCTCCAGAGCTGAGAGAGCTCTCAGACGCGCTGCAGTGCATGCTGGTAGGGCTGGAACCAGCCTTCAGTGCACATGGAGCTGGGTCAGAGCTCTCACGTGGCATTCTGTCCCTGTTAAACACAGTAAAATGGTATTTGTGACTACCAAGGCCTCGAATAAGGATTTTTGGTCCTTTATTTTCAAATAATTTTAGACCTAGAGAAAATTTCTGAAGAGTACATACACCCTTCACTTAGCTTCAACATCTTATTTAACCAAAGTACAATTTTCAGAACAAAGACATTAACATTGATATTATATTATTAAAGAAATTATATACTCTGCTTGAATGTCACCA